ACCTCATGTTGGCCCATCTTGAACCTAAAGCTAGAAGTTGAAGCAAAGAAATTCCCCTAAATGGAATAAATGAAATCAGACCATTTTAGGTGGTTAATGAAAATGATGAACTATTTTTAACACCTATTTTGGAATTATTGTTAAAAGATGACTCACACTGTCAACTCACAATGGCCAGGTTTGAAATGACAAAACAAATATTGGATGAAACTGCAGTGCCATTTAGTGTAGGTATCTAAGAGGTGAGAATAAACTCTACTAACTTTTATGCAAGCATTCCAGTTTTTGCGTCCTTGTGAATCATCTCACTATCTACTTGAATTACAGTACTTGCTGCCATGCTGGTGCATGCTGGTAGCATGCTGGTAGCATCATTGAGATTTGACAACAACTGGGGTGGGATGAACTGTGCTTAAAAATGACATATATGGTCATGTTTCCTCAGAATGAATAGTAGGAACGTCTGTAAACCTTCAACTTTATGTAGCTCACTGATTTTCCCACCAATTGTTTGTTTTCATTTACAGATTACCACATTCTAAGTGAAGTATATAATAAAAAATAGATATTTTCAAACATTAAAACAACTCCAATCACCTCCACATTCACTAAATGTATATTGCCAAAACTATTCACTCATCTGCCTTCACACACATATGAACTTGAGAGGCATCCCATTTTTAATTCCACAAGGTTTAATTTATTTGTGTTTATGAAAATTTTTGACCATCGTTCCACAAGTGCGTTTGTGAGGTCAGACAAGGAAGTTGGAGGAGAAGGCCTGGCTCCCACTCTTTAATTCATCCAAAAGGTGTTCAGTCAGGTTGAGGTCAGGACTCTGTGCAGGCAAGTCAACTTCTTTTACCCTCCAGCGAAGACGGACGAAGCTGATGAAGGCTGGAGCGGTCCCACTGACCCTCCAGCAGACGACGAAGGCTGGAGCGGTCCCTCGGACCCTCCAGCGAAGGCAGATGAAGACTGGAGCGGTCCCTCGGACCCTCCAGCGAAGGCGAATGAAGGCTGGAGCGGTCCCTCGGACCCTCCAGCGAAGGCAGACGAAGGCTGGAGCGGTGCCTCGGACCCTCCAGCGAAGACGGATGAAGTCTGGAGCGGTCCCACGGACCCTCCAGCGAAGACAAACGAAGGCTGGAGCGGTCCCACGGACCTCCAGCGAAGACGGATGAAGTCTGGAGCGGTCCCACGGACCCTCCAGCGAAGACAAACGAAGGCTGGAGCGGTCCCACGGACCCTCCAGCGAAGGCAGACGAAGGCTGGAGCGGTGCCTCGGACCTCCAGCGAAGACAAACGAAGGCTGAAGCGGTGCCTCGGACCCTCCAGCGAGGCAGACAAAGGCTGGAGCGGTGCCTCGGACCTCCAGCGAAGACAAACGAAGGCTGAAGCGGTCCCTCCAGCGAAGACGGACGAAGCTGATGAAGGCTGGAGCGGTCCCACTGACCCTCCAGCAGACGACGAAGGCTGGAGCGGTCCCTCGGACCCTCCAGCGAAGGCAGATGAAGACTGGAGCGGTCCCTCGGACCCTCCAGCGAAGGCGAATGAAGGCTGGAGCGGTCCCACGGACCCTCCAGAGACGACAAAGGCTGGGGCGGTCCTCGGACCCCCCCAGCGAAGGCAATCCCGGACGAGCCCCCATATGTTACACCCCGGCCTAGGCAACCGGCGTGCAACGTATGAAAATAAAAACAAGAAAAAGACACACGAGAAAAAAACTAAAGCTCTCCACCAAAATCCCAAAACGAAGGTGTCTCAAACGAAAATATTAACAAACCATTCACAGCTATTTACAACAGACTATTTATTTACAACAAAACACAAACTATTTACAACACGGGGGAGATCGCGACCATGACACACTGAAACACAGGGTTTAAATACCTAGAAGGAGCAATCAGGGAATGGACCACAGGAGGGAAACACAGCTGGGGCAAATTAGACCTGACGAGACAGGGAAACGTAAACTGAAAACACTAAGATAACACAGACTTTCAAAGTAAAACAGGAAACACATAACAGTCACGCCAAAAACAACACACTGACAACACCGAAACGTAACATACGCCAAACTCTCTCATCATGTACTATGCACCTAAGCATCCACTGACCCTGCTCTGTGACTTTAGTTGGTTTGGGGCATATCTCAGTGTGCTGTTAGAGTGTGCTGAGAGTGTCACCAAAAAATTAAGGAAATTTGTTAAGTGGAGGACAAAACATGCCAGGTCTAAAAAACTACACATATCTACTGCAGATAAACAGTAACTGAAAGCCATGCCCTAAAGAAATAGAGGAAGAAATCACAAAAAAAAAAAAAGACAAAGGGAATGCAAGATATATCTGTCCCTTCTATTCCCTGAGGTCTCATCAGAAATTGTTTCAGTGGGAGTGTGGCAGTTAAAAAGCCATTTTTAAGGGGGGGAACCGGGAAGAAAAGGCTAATATGCTGTGCCAAAATAAACAAGAATGGACTCAAACTCAGTGGCAACAGGTCTTGTGAAGTGAGTGTCAACAGCCACTGCTAAAACTTGCTGAAAGATTTGTCATGGTTTGGGAATCTTGTCAAAATTCATTTAATTATGAATGCAAAAAAGTAACATCAGATTATAAACCATCATTCACTAACATCTGGAACTCATCTGATTGCTGTGTCAGTGATCACCGTCACTGTCAAAACATTATTGATGCACAAAAGGCACTGAATAGAAAACACACAATGGAACATAATCTGTCATGGGTTGAAAAGCCAGACTTCAACATGATTTAAGCAGTGTGGGATTACCTTGACAGAGACTTTTAAAGAAGGCAGCTAACATCCAAAGAAGAGCTTTGAATGTCCTTCAAGAAGCCTGTAGTCATTTCATTAACGAAAAGAAATAGCAAGGAAGCTTGCCTAAGCAAGTTGAGGTCGTGTGAAGAATAAAGGTTTACCTTACCTAAACCAAATATTGACTTTTAAGTTCTTTAGAATTGTGCAGACTGTTTTTACTGTCAACACTGTATTTCCATTTATGCTGAAAATGTGTAATACAGTAAAAAGTTAAACTGTTATTTTATCAGTATAGTAGACATGTATATTAAATGCATAGATGCTGACATTGCACCTTTTCACTGTTAAAGCAATGTAGAAAGATGAAATATTTTGGAAAGAAGTCAAGACAACATGCAGGAAATCTATTTCCTGTTCATAGACTCAAAGATATATACACACAGTATATACAGTGTGTGTATATACACGCATCATGGACATGAATGTCATGGCAACAAGGATTTCTTTGAACTGTTCTTTTTCCAGCGTGGAGTGATTGTACAGTGTACATATTTAATTACTAAAAAATTTTTGATTGAACAAGTTTGAATTTATTTTCTGATTTTCTCCAGTCCACACAGAGTCAGAATTATTCAGGATCAAACATATACATACACTCACTTAAATATTTTAATAAGTGGCGCTGAAAGTGCAACAGTGTCTTTCAAATTGACAAGGACAATGCCTATTAACTTGTGATTAGTGATTATGATTAAATGCGACTTGTAGTTTCTGTTTGCCAGCATTAAAAATGGATTTGTTTGACAGGACCTATTTGGTTGACCAACACAACATTGGGAAAGTAAAAAGAACTGAATAAAACCGGAAAAGGATAAGTTGGGAAGGTCTCTTGGAGCCAACAACTGCAGATCTCTCCATCATCAGTTCAAACAGTAGTGCATAAGTACAAGTTATTCTGATATGTCATCACTTTTTCAAGGTCTGGAAGAATACAAGAGATGATTAGTTAGCATGTTCAGAAACACCCCAGGAACCACCAAGGCTTAAAGCTGGTACAACAAACTAGATGAAGTAATAAAGGAGAAAGACTACCTCCAAGATTCTTCACCTCAAATCAAAACCCAGATAGTTTAAAACTTGGACACAAAAGCACCTGGTAAGGTGCAACTTGGAAAAATTTAACCAATTATTAGTGGGGGTGTATGTATATATTTGAGCCTGTGTGGATTAGAGAACCCCCCCCCCCCCCTCCCCCCCAAAGAAAAAAAATCTAAAATCCTATACACCCAATTCTGGAATTTTAAAGTAATTAAAGATATATGGCGTCCAAAGCATTCCACCCTGAAAAAATAACAGTTCAAAGAAATCATTAAAAGCCCCAAATTACCATGAGGTTCATGGTAAGACTTAAAAACCTGAACTGGGAAAACAAGGACTGAATCATTTCCTTGCTGTTGGCCAATTGTTCATTGTTTGCGTTCTGCAAGCTGATGGGATGAAGTTTTACAATATAACTTGCCTCCATTGAGACTCAAATGTAAACATCCCCTGGATAGTCTGAAAAACGTCAGGATGTTTAACAAATAAAGAATTGTACAACCTCTCACCCATAAACAATGAATACTTTAATCTTGGATATCTGTTGGGGGATGGTCCCGAAGTACAATTTCACATGTGAAATCGCATCCCTCTGACTTTAATGTCATGCCAGGGCAAGCCTGCTGGCTTGTCATAAGCACCTTCTGTTTGAAAAGTTGGTATCTGCAAAGCCTTCACACATATATCTGGCTGAATATTAACAGGTTTGTGCTAGTTTTATTTATGTTTATAGAGGGAAACTGTTATGATCTATGTTTATTTATGCATATATGCAACACAAATTATACAAAGACAAGAAAGACAAATACAAAGTCTTTGGTTTGGCACAGATATCCATATTCCAGATAACTTGTTAGTACCATTTACTGGCTATAAAAAGGCTTTAAGAGGTTTAAGAAAAAAAAACCTTTTTCCATGGAAATCAGTTCTCTTGCGATGTACTTATCTTGGGACAGAGTCCAGGTATTTCCTTGCCAAAAGCCTGCTGCTGCAGCATGTATTTCTTATGTGATTCTTATTCTGTGCTCTCATTTTTTTTTTCAGTTGTGGTTATTGAGGGGGGAGAAAAAAGAGTTCATTGGAAAGAGGGAGCAAAGAGAGAAAGGGGGTCTGCAGAGCAGACTTCATCACAATCTTTCAAAGAAGAGGGCTGAGCTGATAGTCTACTCACTAATCATATTCTTCAGATATATATCGTATCTCTTAGATAGTTTAGTTTACAGTCAGTTGCAGAAGAAATGTCTACCATCGTTGTAGCACTCCTGGTTTTCCTGACTATCCATGGAGGTAAGTATAGCTGAACAACTGATGAAAATACAAAACATTTATTGCTCAGAAATGTGCATTTGACACCTAATGGCAGCAACAGAATTTTCATTTTTGTCACGTGCATGTGAATTTTAACCTGCAATAGATGCTTGCCTTACCTTGTTTGTCTCCAGACACTAAAATCATTCTCTAACTTATCTAAAAGCCTCAGGTATCAGTCCTAGATGCCAATGCCTCTTTAAGGAGAAAAGGCCAATTGGACGTTTCATAAGCACCGTGGATATTTACCCTGCAAACTCCTACTGCAAAAGCACTGAGATTATGTAAGTATTTCTATTGATTTGCCCTCATAAAACACTTGAACCATATGCATACATCTGCCGTCTCGTATCTGTCTTCGATCCTGCAGTGCTACTCTCAAGAAGGAGGGGCAAAGGATTTGTCTGGACCCCAATGCTCCATGGGTCAAACAAGTGCTTAAAAGTAAAAAGATTACGTGAGTGTAACTTTACTGTACTTTGGTAACTGTTGAATTGAATTGAATTGAATTGAATTGAATGAATGCTTTATTGGCCATATGCAGGTTGCCCCGCAGAGGAATAGTACCCCCCCCCCCCCCCCCCCGACTTACACACAACAAAGATATCACATGGGATACAGTCGGAGATCGGCAGCGTTGCAGAGAAAACACTGAAAAATTACACAACAATGGGAAAAAGTACAAGAGGAAGAAAAGAGACCTCTTCTCACGCTGGGCACCTATGGGAGGACAGCATGAGAACAGGAAACAAAAAAAACTCCTCTGCACAGAGAGCACATTAATATCCACATCACAACATTAGAGCACGTGACTGGCCACAGGGGTGGATAGGGGGTGGGGGTAATCCGAAGGAACACAGCAGTCGTCCTACACAGCGCTACCATTTCAGCGCGGCACGCATACCCGCCGTCTTCCCCCGCAGGAAACAAGCATCGAAGGCGTTTGGAAAGGGAGGGGGAGTTAGTAGATACCAGTGCATATAAAACCTTATTTAAACAAGAAGCATATTACTTTTTTCAGAATCCGGATAAGCAGGGAGAGCAAGATGTCTGCAATGACTGAGAAACATATTTTAACACAACCCCACCTTCATTTTTTACATTAGGGTGAACTGGAAACCTTGTGTGGCTATTGTGTTTGCATGCTTAGTCATGGATCAGGAAAAGGTTCAATTTCTTACAAAAGGAATTAAAAGCACCCACTTCCCCTTAACATATACAATTACAGGAAGATATTCACGATACCAGGAAAACAGTTAATCGTTAATGATTAACTTGTCACTAGGAGTGTCACTTCCAGTTTTTGCTTTTGTTAACAGGAAGTGGCTCCTACATTTTTGTTGGTTCTAATGAAAGAATAAAAAAATATACAATTGGTCATTTTATTGCATTCAAATTAATCAAAAAAATTTTGATTTTTTTTTTTACATTTTTTTCTGTGAGCCAAGTGAAATAGTATTCCCCTTAAAACATGAACATTTTCTTTTCTGTAGGCAGACACCTTGAAGAATATACCTTCCCTGATTTGGCTAAGATGGACAGAGGATAGACACATGGAAAATAGAAGCACAGACTGCAGTTATAGAACATAAACTGGGTTTTGTTTGAAGGTGTAGAAGCAGGATTGTTTATACCCGTTTTCACTTTACAGCACTTAACTGTGTTCTCTTATTATTGATGTGAACTATCTGTGTTTGTATTTCCTTAAAAATATATCCTTATATACATTACATGTTCATTTATTAATACATTGTGGGGATAAACCTTATTAACTAACGGTAAGGAGGGACTAGATAGTGGGCAATGAGGACAGAGCACAACAGCAAGTCATGAAATGGGTTTAAAACTTTATTAGAAGAGTTGGCATTTAATGGTTTGTATATCACATATGACTGTGTGACTGTTCCATGTGCTGTGCTACATACCATACATTTTGTCAAGGACATTTTTGCTGCCTTTGAAATGTCAGGAAAAAATTGTGGAAAAATAAATCTATTCATCCATTTTCTTAACTGGTTATCCAATGCAGAGTCATGGTGGGGCTGGAATCCTGCCCAAAATGTCATAGGGTGAGAGGTTAACAGGTACAGTCTATTCAGGTATATTGTCCATTGCAGGGTAAAGCAAAAAGGAGAATTTCTTGGATTGTGTCATGTAGACTATGGCACACAGTGAGATTATATTTTCAATGGAAGGAGATTGCCACCTCTTGGACAAAGATGCATACCATTAGGATTGTCTCATTTACTGAATACCTCTATAGCAGCTGAAAGCAATTATGTTCTTTCAAAATTAAACAGTTTTTACTGTGCCCTTTTCAAGAAAAATCCTTAGCTGGTGTATAACCATAGTCATTTATGCTTCTTCTGAGCTGACTGCAGAACAACTAGTATTTTAGTTTTAAACACAGTAACAAAGTTAACAATTAAAAAAATGTACTATGTGCTTGTTTTGTATCATCACTGCTGCTTTGAATAAAGGCTTATGAATAAAGGAAATACAGTCACCTCTTTTTAGGACTGATTTCAAAAGCAACAGCAGATATTTGATCTTAGCCTATGAAAGTTATGCTGACATACCGAATGTCACAATATTAACCATTTCCCAGTTACACAGCTGCTTTTTATTCCCCCTTTGACTTTCCCTAACTCTCTACTCCCTTCAGATCTGTTCTCTGTGGTTCTGTAACTCCTGTTTTCCTACTTTTCCCACTGACTTACATGCAAATGTTAACACACTGGGATATCATGTTGATTTACTGCCAAACTGTAAATAATGTTGCAATCTTGTTCTCAGTCTCCCAGTGCTTCCCATGTGAAAAAGAAATAGTAAAAACTTATATGTGATTACTCATGAAAGTGGCCACTTTCTAATTACTTTCATACATTGTTTTAGTAGTATCCAAACATACAAGTTTCATTATATAATTTTTCAAGGGATCTTATATCTGTTTTCACTCTTATATGCTTTTCATACAAGTTTCACACAAGACAGATACAAACTTTATAACATTTATATATATCGTTTCCATATGGGTTTTCTCAGCCATTATGTTGAATTATGCTTAGAAAGTAAAAAACAGAAAAAAGAAAAGAAAAAAAGAAATGTAGATCACATGCACGATATAAATCATCATATACAGTGGGGCAAAAAAGTATTTAGTCAGCCACCGATTGTGCAAGTTCCCCCACTTAAAATGATGACAGAGGTCAGTAATTTGCACCAGAGGTACATTCAACTGTGAGAGACAGAATGTGAAAAAAAATCCATGATTCACATGGTGGATTTGTAAAGAATTTATTCGTAAATTAGGGTGGAAAATAAGTAATCCAAATTTACCAGACAAAGAACAAAAAACAAAAACAAAATAATCATCACCATACAGGTCTTTAAGTGACTTATTGCCAAGGTCTAATAGTCTAACCTCTGACACTTTCAGCTCTTATATATTTATTGGAAGTTTTAGCAATAACATTTTTAGTGTTCATTAGAAGTTAGGAGTTCATGAAGAGTGTTCATTTACTTGGAATTAGCGGGGGAGGTTATATCAGTACAGAACTGAAACCGCTGGGTGACTCAAAGTCATCTAGTGCATCTAGGCAACATTTTTCTTTCTCTCTCTCTCTCTCTCTCTCTCTCTCTCTCTCTCTCTCTCTCTCTCTAAATAGCAATAATTAATATCAGCAGCATCATTCTGGCTTTTGATCCGCACTATGGACAACAGCCATAGTTAGAGACCAGGCAACAGACAAAATAATTGAAGCATAAGCCATAAACTCACACCACTCTTCAATTAGGCTATCACAAGCCCCAAACAAAATTCAGCATTGACAAGGTAACCTAAAGACAAGTGTAATGTCCACAAGCCTGGAACAAAGAAGAGAGAGAAGCCCTTTTAAACCTCAGGTCTTCACAGAGAAGAAGCACATTCATTTATCTCCAAAAGTTGATTCTGTTCATCACAACGTAGCTTTTTAAGTGGGAGAAACGTTTTGTCACTCATCCAAGTGACTTCTTCAGTCTCAGCTGACTGCAGGTTTCCCCAATCTTATAAACAGTACATTTGCATAATGACTGAAACCAGCCCACTGAAGGAACAATGGGTTCATTTATAAAATTCTTTATTCAATAATAATTTCTGACCATCTTCTGTATTTCACACAAAAATATTGCAATATGAGTACATATTTTGTACTGAGACAGAGTCCAGCCCCTCTCCAGGAGACTGGTTCCAGAGCCCAAGCCATGCGTAGAGGTGAGCCCGACTATATCTAGCCGGTACCTCTCACTACGCACTAACTCAGGCTCCTTCCCCACAGAGAGGTGACATTCCATGTCCCTATTGCCAGTCTTGGCAGCCGGGGGTCAGTCCGCCAGGGCCTCGCTCCTGGCGCCACCCGGCACACAATGCACCCGACCCTATGGCGCCTCCTGCGGGTGGTGGGCCTGTGGGAGGATGGGCCCATGTCTCCTCTTCGGGCTGTGCCCGGCCGGGCCCCTGGACTAAGGCCGGCCACCAGACGCTCGCCCTCGGGCACCCTCCCGGGCCTGGCTCCAGGGCGGGCCCCGGTAACCCTATCCCGGGCAAGGTAAACTGTTCCCTCGATATCCTTTTCATAAGGGTCTTCTGAATCGCTCTTTGTCTGGTCCCTCACCCAGGACCAATTTGCCATGGGAGACCCTACCAGGGGGCAAAAGCCCCCAGACAACATAGCCCCTGGGATCCCTGGGACACACAAACCCCTCCACCACGATAAGGTAGCGATTCAAGGAGGAGAAAGGGAGCCACCAGGCTGAAGAAGGAGTCCTATCGGGCTTGGTTAGCCTGTGGGACTCCGGAGGCAGCCGACAGGTATCGACAGGCCAAGCGGAATGCGGCTCGGGCAGTGGCTGAAGCAAAAACTCGGGTGTGGGAGGAGTTCGGAGAGGCCATGGAAAAAGACTTTCGGACTGCCTCGAAGAGATTCTGGCAAACCGTCAGGCGTCTCAGAAGGGGAAAGCGGTGCTCTACCTGCACTGTGTATAGTGCTGGCGGAGCGCTGCTGACGTCGACTGAGAAAATTGTCAGGCAGTGGATGGAATACTTCAAGGACCTCCTTAATCCCACTGACACGTCTTCCGAGGAGGAAGCAGAGTCTGGGGATGAGGGGAATGACCCGCCAATTTCCGGGGGTGAGGTCACTGAGGCAGTTAAACAACTCCTTGGTGGCAGAGCCCCTGGTGTTGATGAAGTCCGCCCCGAGTACCTGAAGGCTCTGGACGTTGTAGGGCTGTCCTGGTTGACACGCCTCTGCAATGTTGCGTGGAGATCAGGGGCAGTACCTGTGGACTGGCAGACCGGGGTGGTGGTCCCCATCTTTAAGAAGGGGGACCGGAGGGTGTGTTCCAACTACAGGGGGATCACACTCCACAGCCTCCCTGGGAAAGTCTATGCCAGGGTGCTGAAAAGGAGAGTTCGTCCGCTAGTCGAACCTCGGATACAGGAGGAACAATGCGGTTTTCGTCCTGGTCGCGGAACACTGGACCAGCTCTTTATCCTCTCCAGGATACTGGAGGGTGCATGGGAGTTTGCCCAACCAGTCTACATGTGTTCTTGTGGACTTGGAAAGGCATTCGACCGTGTCCTCGGGGTGTCCTGTGGAGGTGTTGCGGGAGTATGGGGTGTCTGGCCCCATTGCTACGGGCCATTCGATCCCTATACACCGTTGCAAGAGCTTGGTTCGCATTGCCGCAATAAGTCGACTCGTTCCCGTGGTGATGGCTCCGCCAGGGCTGCCCTTTGTCTCCGGTTCTGTTCATAATTTTTATGGACAGGATTTCTAGCGCAGCCAAGTGGCGGAGGGCTTTCGCTTTGGTGGCCAGAATCTCATCTCTGATTTTTGCGGATGATGTGGTTCTGTTGGCTTCATCGGGTGAGGGCCTCCAGCTCGCACTGGAACGGTTCGCAGCCGAGTGTGAAGCAGCGGGAATGAGGATCAGCACCTCCAAATCTGAGGCCATGGTTCTCAGCCGGAAAAGGGTGGAGTGCCCACCCGGTTGGGATGAGTTCCTGTCCCCAAGTGGAGGAGTTCAAGTATCTCGGGTCTTGTTCGCGAGTGATGGGGAAGGGAGCCGGAGATCGACAGACAGATTGGCGCAGCTGCAGTATGCGACGCTGCACCGGTCCGTCGTGGTGAAGAGGGAGCTGAGGTAAAGCGAAGCTCTCAATTACCGGTCGATCTACGTCCCTACCTCACCTATGGCCATGAGCGTGGGTAGTGACCGAAGAACAGATCGCGGATACAAGCGGCAGAATGAGCTTCCTCAAGGTGGCTGGCCTCTCCTTAGAGATAGGTGAGAAGTTCGGCCATCGGGAGGGCTCAGAGTAGAACAGCTGCTGCTCCACATCGAAAGGAGCAGCGAGGTGGTTCGGCATTGACAAGGATGCCTGGCGCCTCTGGGTGAGGTGTTCCAGGCATGTCCACCGGGAGGAGGCCCGGGCAGACCCGGACACGCTGGAGAGATTATATCTCTCGGCTGGCCTGGGAACGCCTTGGTATTCCCGGATAACTGGAGGAGGTGGCTGGGAGAGGGAGGTCTGGCCTCTTGCCTTAGGCTGCTGCCCCCGCGACCCGGCCTCGGATAAAGCGGATGAAGATGGATGGATGGATGGATGGAGTACATATTTTCTGTATATAAGTGGTAAAGTTTCAGTGCTTTAAACTTTTTTGCCCTAGTAGACCCATTGTCAACAAGTTCTGTTATGTAATGGACTGCTTTGATTCCTTCCAACATAAGTGAGGCTACTCATGTATACTCTTGACCTTATTCTATCATATACAGTGGCTTGCAAAAGTATTCAGCTCACTTGAACTTTCCTAAATTTTGTCACATTACAGCCACAAACATGAATCAATCTTATTGGAATTCCACGTGAAAGACCGATACAAAGTGGTGTACACTGAGAAGTGGAACAAATCATACATGATTCCAACATTTTTAACAAATAATAACTGCAAAGTGGGGTGTGCGTAAATATTCAGCCCCCTTTGGTCTGAGTGCAGTCAGTTGCCCATAGACATTGCCTGATGATGCTAATGACTAATAGAGTGCACTATGTGTAATCTAATGTCAGTACAAATCAGCTGCTCTTGTGACGCCTCAGAGGTTGTCTAAGCGAATATTGGGAGCAAAACACCATGAAACTCCAAAGAACACACAGACAGGTCAGGATAAATTATTGAGAATGTAAAGCAGGCTTAGGCTACAAAAAGATTTCCCAAGCCTTGAAATTCACGGTGCACTGTTCAAGCATCATCTGAATGGAGAGTATGGCAACTGTAAAACTACCAAGACATAGCCGTCCGCCTAAACTCACAGGCCGAACAAGGAGACGCTGATCAGAAATGCGCCAGAGGCCCATGGTGACTCTGGACGAGCTGCAGAGATCTACAGCTCAGGTGGGGGAATCTGTCCATAGGACAACTATTAGTCATGCGCTGCACAAAGTTGGCCTTTA